TATATTTGACAGTTCTAAGTACTTTATTGAAATATCTGGTCGTTGGAGATATTCTAAAGTGCCTGATACCATGTTAAAAAGTAGAAGTAGTGAAAAATAAATAAATAAATAAAATAAATTAAAAAAATAAAAAATCAGTAGGCTGGAGTAAAAACAGGCAACCAAATACAGCCTCTCTGTGACCTGGACTCAAGACACCTGGAAAACAACAACCGAAGACAAAAAAGTAAATCTTTGGAAATTGTCAGAGGGACAACAGAAAAGCTAGAACATAAAGAGAAGCACAACCCAGAGAAAAGAAGGAAGCAGACTGGAAAGGAGAACCTGTCTCTGCTAACACAAGGTAAGTAAGCCCGGAGAGGGTTAAAAGAGTAAAGGCCCGTAGCACTGTCCCCCTCCCCCCAAAAGTCCATGGTTAATGCAAATGTAGCATGAAGGTTTACTCTGAAATTAACCCCTCCCACATGGCAGGCTAAGGTTGGAGATGAAATCCAGTGCAATGTCTGTCATATTTCAAAGTGCTCAACCAGGAGCCATTTTTTAAAAAATGTATTTGGTACAGGGTCTCACTATGCAGCTTAGACTTGCAGTGACTCTCCTATTTTTGGCCTCCCCAACGCTGGGATTACAGGCGCGTGCCATCACGCCTGGTCTTGGTGGCTGACTCAGTGTGCCCAGGGGCAGGGCTGGTGCAGCATGTGATGCAGGGGATCAAACTCTGGTCCTTCCGCTTGCCTAAGCAGTGCTTAGTCTGTAGAGCTATCTCACTGGCCTTTTTTTTTTCAGGAGCCAATTTTGGAAAGGGTTAAGACTGAACTATAAAAAAACCAGAGAACAAATACAGTTCAAGTTTTCTTGGGTCACCCTATCACCATTACTGGTTTGGAGGCAGCATAAGAGATAGTTGCAGAGAAGGCAGGTAGACATAGATGCTCAGGGAAGTTAATGTGTAGATGGGAAAACATGGGGGTTTCTCTTTGTGATGAGGAGCTAGTTCAGTCATGCATGGCTTTTGGCTGTTGCTAGGTCTGAAAGTGCTGGCATTGGTTCCAGCAAACTGCTTGACTTCCCCTCTTCAGCCCTTCCTATAGCTTACATCCAACAAGAGTTCAGCGGTCTGTTTCTTGCTCCTTTTGCCAACATAGGGATATAATTTGGGTTGGATGATTTGAAAAAGTTCTGGCATACTGACAGGAAGCCTCTGGAACAGGAAGGATATTTCATAAGCCCATGTGCCATGAAGTGAGGTGGAGAAAGCCATGACTTGGGGTGCACAGAGGGACATGAAGACTGGAAACAGGTGGATTAAATATATCACTACAATGGTCATCATTGACCCCACTAGGCCCAGTTGGAAAAATGAGACGGGATTCAGCATTCATATACAAAAACATGAGTGTGGAAACAACCTAACATAGGTCTTGGCAGTGAGTCAGTATCCTTCCCTTATACCTGGTAGATACCAATGATGCAGATGCTGGAAAGAACCACTCATTCAAAAACATGGAGACCTTTTTTTGCACTCATTTCTCTTTCTCTTTGTTTTTGTTGGGAAGAGGATTGAGCTTTTTTCTTTAAATTGTTCTCTTTTTTCTTGTCTTGGTAATTTTATCTAATTCTATATATTTTTAACTCCTTTTATTGTTTGTATTTAGGACAGGGTATACAGGATCTCACTGTGTAAAATGTAGATTGGAATCGTAGTGATCTGCCTGTTTACAGCCTCCCAAGAGCTGGGATTACAGGTGTGTGCCACCACACCCAGTCTCAATTGCTATCTCCGCACGCACTAGGAGTAGGGCTGGCATGGCACACCAGGAATCGAACCCTGGCCATTGTGCTCTGTCTAAGGAGGTGCTTCAGTCTGCTGAGCTATCTGGCTGGCCCATTTATTGGTTCTTATGGTATGTCAATATGCAAATTCTTTGTGAGATTTCCTTGGAAAACCAGGTGAATGGGTTTTCAGGGTTTGAATCTGTTTCATGCCTTCTAATTCTTTCCTGTATTGTTCATTCAGTGTTTCCATCATTTTTCTATTCTGTTTTATTATTATTTTTTTATCTATGTCATCTTTAGCTGTGCTGGGCAATTCTTTCATGATTGTTGTCATTTCTTTTTGGACTTGAGAGATTATTTCTGATCTTATTTCTCCATTATAGAGATTGCAGGCGTGTGATTTCTAAGATCTTCCATGTCTTTGTCTCCTGGATTTGTTCTGGGTGGGCCTGAGGATTGAGAATGTCTTTTGCTTCTGCATTTTGGAAGCTTTAAAGCTCCCAGTAATGACCCACAGACCACTCAGAGTCCGCCAAAGTTCTTAATTGGCACCAGGAAAGCTTCGTGCCTGCACGCCCTGGGCCCACAGGTCGCAGCACTGCTGAGTCCCGCAGGCCAGGCAGAGTCCTCTAAGTTCTTAAAAGTGAGGACCAGCACCAGCAGAAGCTCCACGCCTGCATGCTGGGTGCTAAGCAAGGTTGGAGCTTACCAGAGTACTGCAGTCTGCCAAGAGCCTGCTGAAGTCTGAACAACCATTTTAGCAAAGAATTAAGTCAATGAAGGGGTACCAAATAGAAATCCAGGAGATTAAAATTTCTATTGAACATATGGGCAGCAGAAGTGACCAATATGAGGACAATTTATCTGAACTAGAACTTAAGGAAGATGCAGATGACCATAAACTCAAGAGACATTTGAAAATTAACAAGAGAGACAGGCATGGTAGTACATGCTTATAATCCCAGCACTCAGGAGGCTGAGGCAAGAGGATCACTGCTATGAGTTTGAGATCAGCCTGGGGTAGAAAGTGAGTTCAAGGCCAGACTGAACTGCACAATGCAATCTTGTCCCCAAAAGACCAATAAATAAATAAATTTAACAAGAGAGACTTTCAGGAACGTGGTAGAGTGGTGCAGAGCAGAGAAACAGTCTCTTAGAGGTTTGGTATCCACACACTAGAATACAGCAACATAAGGAAGGAAAGAGGAATGTTCATCTTTGAGACCCAGTAATGATCTAAAGCAAGAATTGAAATCTCTTCAGTGAGACTGAAGAGAGAGACTTCAACAAAAAAGAAGGGAGTATCAAAGGACACTTTCTCCCTGAGTCCTGATTCACTGTGGGAGGAGCAACTCAAACACAGACTACTGGTGACTTGAGAGTACTCCATGGAAAGATGACACAGGTCAAACAGAGAGGATGCAGCAGATTGCATTGGCTAGTGAGTTATTTGGGTTTTGACATCCTAGGAGAGGCTGACTGGCTGGCAGCTAGCTATCTTGGAGGAAGGCCAGGGGAGCGCCTAACTCAGATGAGTTGCAGACTGGCTCCATCTAGTGGCTCTTAGAGTCAGGGTGAGGTGGAAACCAGTTCAAGTCAGCAGGAGGCCAAGGAGCTGAGTTTAAGTTGGCAAGGAGCCAACTTCAAGCCTGCAGGAGGGAAATAAAGTGTTGCAGGCTAAAAAAATGAGATTTAGCCTCACACCCACAAACCAGCCTGAGCTTCAGAGCATTATTTGCTATCCTGCCATAAATCTTGTCTTTCACCACCACAAACTGTTGCCTCTCTGCCATGTGCCACCAGGTGGGCAGTTATAGACTGAAACTTTTACAAAATAAATGTTTCCACCTTTGACTTGGAGTATCAGGTATTTTGTCTCAGCAATGACAAAAGTCCTGTTGGGTAACAGGAGTG